TTGCGTATAATGATAACAAGTAATATTCACAGGACAAAATGAATTCCACAGCATGTTAGCTTAAGCTTTAAACAAATCCAACTAAGTCCTAACATTGAGTCTTCTCCAAAGCATAAAACATTCATAACCGTAAATAGCAATAAAAGTCTTAATTATAAAATGTAAGAGGAGCAATATAATTCGAAAAACTATGCGAAAATACTTTCTATAAATATTTGGTAAAATACTGTAAAATAAACTGCCACATATATATATTACCAAAATATGATTAAAAATCAAAACAATTACTTCAAAGTAATCACTTGAAATAATATTCCAAAGAATTGTTGGAAATCTATCACTAAGTTTAATAACAATTTATGCTGACTGTAATTATTTAATTAAATTCGATCCAATTAAAAGCTGATTTTAAGTTAATTTAAGAGTTGATTACTTGAGATGATGAAAATTTTAATTATACTTTTCTTTTTTAGTGCATACAAAATCTAAAATTAATTACTTGATCAAAATTTATTGTTGTAATTCATTATTTAGTCAAGAAAAATCATTGTAGTAGGTAATGAAATAAAATTTTAGAGCAAAAGTTAATCAGTAATAAGTTATAAAATAGGGGCAATATTACTGAAGTATTCCTTGAATTAGTCAATTGATACTTTATTTAAGATATAACTATTTACAAATTTTAACTTAATATTAATAGATAAACATTTATTTAATATAAATTAAAATTAACTTAATGCTTGCCTATCGTAATTGACAAAGCTTCACAGTTATTGTAGTGGCACTTTTTAAAATAATGAAAGCAATTATTAAATTATTTAATAATTTGGCGAGCAATTTATTCTATAATTATTAATGAAAATTGAATTGTGAAAAGAAACCCTTTTTTATTTATACTTATGTTAAATTTATTCATGAAAACTTTAGCCCATGAAGAAGAATTATCCTGGAAAAACGAATTTATTGAAGAAATTGCATAAATATTTAAAAAAGAGTAACTTTAAGCATACTAATTTATTTCTTTGCCTATTAACCTAATCCTTGAAAGAATTTTCAGGCAAATTATCAAGTTATAAAGTTTTCGTTATTATTTTTAATCTAAATAAAAGATCTAACTTTAGATAAATAAGATTAATTCGAATTTGAGAAATTAAACTAGCTCAGATTATTCAAAATTTTTGATATTTTTAACAATTTTGCAAATTTACATTATTATTTTCAAAACGAACAGATAATGCTGACTTGAATTAAATTGGTTTGTATTTCATTCAAGTACGAAAAATGGATTTAAATATGATATTGATCATTTTGAATTGATCAAATTTGTGAACCTGATTGCTATTTGCATAATTTGTGCAGTAAAAAGAATACTGTACTTTTAAAACAAAGTATGATTTGTTTATTTTCTCGCTAAATATTCAAAAAATTATCAGTGATAGTTAATATCACTCGAACAATCATCAAAAATTATCAAAAATTGTACATCATTCAGTAAATTAATTCATCAAATAAATATGAATTGAATCTAACCTATAAAAGTAGATTCTCGATGAAGTGCTGTAGATTCTATTAACTTTAATGAAGTATCCTGAAGTGTGTGGTTATCTTCTAAAGTTTCAAATTCAACATCCTTGACTTCCTGCACATCCAAACTCATTTCTTTGAATTCCGACGATTCCTTTATATCATGAGTGTGTTGATCTTCACTTATGTCTATAAAATCTAGTTTATTATTAATTTGAGTCATTTAAATAATAAGCATTTTGTGCAGAGTAAAGAAAAGAAGTATTTTAACAAAATTTAAGACTTGTTTTCGATTTAATTTTTTTCTTTTAATAACTTCAATAACGATAATATTTATGGATCTAATTACTTAGACAATAACTGTTCAAGAAGATTGATAGCTTTACTTACTCAGAGGGCTTATACAGTAATGACACATGTGATTATGCTATTTTCATCAAGTATTATCAAAAAATATAATATAATACTTTTATCATTTTCTTCACCATACACTTCTTGCTCAGAAATGGTGTTCTCTGGTAACTGCGAAGCTTCATCTTCCGTATATACTGATCTTGAAGTAATATTATTGAAGGTTGTTCAAAATAACCAAGTACTAAGAAGCAGTCACAAAATAAAAATTACACTCTTATTTTTGGGCCATATTTTTTTGAGTATTTTTTAGAATTCTCTTATGGTACAAATTTTTTTAAATACTCTTTTGATAGTAATATAATTTTTGCTCCAAAATTTTGATTT